TATATATATATATATATATATATATATATAGATATATATATATATTTAATAAAGGCGAGAAAAATCGCGTTTCGCCCGCGTGTATGTGTGTGTGAGCCTGCAAAAGCACAATTATTATCGAGTTCTCCTCTCCTCCTCCCCCTTCACATACAAAATCTCGTGTCACTTTCGTTCCACTCCACTGTGTTATTTACAGCTTTTCTTCTTCCTCTTCCTCCTCCTTCTCGTCTTCACGTGAAAGTTTTCCTCGCTTTCGTAAAGCGTGAAGCGAGCAAGAGAAAAAGCGTAGCGGAGAAAAATAAAACGTTTTTTTAACGCACGAAGAGAATTGGCGATGAGAAAAGCGTGGAAAAGAAAAGAAAAGAAAAGAGAAGCGGCGAAGTATGAGATTTCGAATGGAGGAAGCTTCATTAACCCGAGAGTTAAACCCTCGCCGACTCGATCTAATCGTTTCTCTCCCGTTTTTTTTGTTTCCAGCGTTTCTGCAAATGTTGCCGCTACCTTGGATCGAGGACAAGTACACGGAGCGAAGCTCGAGAAAGGGTAAAACCCGATTCCCTTGTCCACGTTGTCGAAAGAGTTACACGACCAAGAGCGCGGTGACGGCCCACTTCAAGTACGATTGCGGGAAACCGCCACGTTTCGAGTGCCCTTATTGCGGCAAGTTGAGCAAGAAAAAGTTCAACATCCAGGATCACATAAGGCACAAGCACCCGTCCAAGCCGGTCATCTGCAACACGTTGTTTTGAGACAACCACGGTCTGTCATCTTCGCAACGCGACGACTTCGTTCCACCATAATAAATTTCTTCGCAATTTGGTCGCAACAATCTTCGAGAAAATTTGAAAAATTTACAGTATTTGCAATTCGAAATATTCCCTCCCTTCTTCTCTCTCTCTCTCTCTCTCTTTCTCTCTCTTTCTCTCGACGAGGTGAAACCTAATCCTGAAAAGTTTTTTAAACATATATTATAGAGATATATATATTAGACATATATATTCTCGAAAAAGCGTACTTCTTCTCAAGGATTCGTTTATTCTTTATTCTTGAAAATGAAATTGCCCCTCCTCCCTAAAGATTTTTAATAAAGATTTTTGCGACTGAATTGTTTCGTTCGCGGAAGCGTAAAAGGTAGCCGCGTGAAAAGTAGTTGAATGGGCGCGGGAAAAATAGGGAGATATTCCGAGGAAATTCGATCGTGCGTGAAACCCGGCCCGATTTGTTAGAAAGAATTTGTTCTCAGAGAATAAAGAAAATCTTTATTGTTTGAAAAAAAAAAAAAAAAAAAAAAAAAAAAAAAAAAAAAAAAAAGAAAAAAAAAACAAGGAGAATACATACACACGTGTTTCGACGATATATATTCTTTTTTTCCAGCGAAATCGGTTTTTGTATCGATTTATTGCATATTGGTCGATGTACCCTCCTCCCGTTTTCTTCTTCTTCTTCTTCTTCTTTCTCTCTTTCTCTTTTCATTCTGCTAACGTCCCATTCTTTTGCATGGTCCCCTGTGTTTTTTCTTTCCTCGTTTTTTTTTTGTTTTCGATCTCCGATTCGATCTTCCGACATCTGATTTGAGCCGACGTTTGAGAGAGCAAAAAGTGGTCGACGCTCACCATCAGCCCGTCGCCCTTGACCGTGATCCTGACCGTGATACGATGTTTTGTAGGTGACCGACTCGACGACGACAACGACAACAACGACGACGACGACCATCACCACCACCACCACTCCCCTCTTGTCGCTCACTCGAGGAAGTACGCGAGAAGAAGGGACATGCTGTACAACTCGTTCACCGGGAAATTTCACTGTCCAAACTGTAACAACGGATACGGGAGGCGGGACACCATGCTGGGTCATTTTAGATACGAGTGCGGCAAGGCGCCGAGGTACAAGTGCCCTTACTGCACCCTGTGCAGCAAGAAGACGTCCAACGTTTATCAACATATCAGGTGTATGCATCCGAAGGAGCTCGTCACCCTCGTCAAGCTCTACTGATCCGTCTGATCTATGGAATCATCATTTATGGATTCTTAGCTCTCCTCCCCTTCCCCCTTTCTCTCGCCTCTTAGGCGATCGAGGACACCGATACCGACGCAATTCAAATTGTTCGATCGATCGATCGAACGTATAGACGACGCACAATTGTTGTTCTTCTTCACGAAAATTGTCGTTTCGAACGAATAAAATTTGCAAAGAAGATGAAGCAAATCGTTTCTCGTCTCAATCGTTCACTTTTTTTAACGATAATCCTCTCCCCTCCACCCTCGAATTTTCAGCCGGTCGATCAGAGTGTTTTTCGAAGTTTTTCTTTTTTTTTCTTTTTGAACAGGAAGATAATGGAGACACGAGGGTAAGGACGTAAGGTTCTTTCGTTCGATTAACCGCCATTTCCATCTGTTTCATTTCAGATACGTGATCGGTGTCGAGCGAGAAATTTGTCCGCTGGATTTTCCACGAGATTTGGATAACGAGCGGTTGTGGAAGAGGCATGTCGTCGCGAGCGTATCGAGTTACGCTTGTTTCGAAAAACAAAACAAATACTATATATATATATATATATATTTCGAAGTTATAACGAATCTTCTGTGTCAAATATATGTATATAGTTTACAAAAGTTGCACACAGGATCGTGTCAATGCTTGTTCAACGTATAAAATAAAAAATTGGACGTTGCTACGTATATAATATATTTTACGTTAAACGAGACGAAGATTCGAACTGGATTGTGAGATGGCTCCGCTAGATGGCTCGCGCGTCTCCAAACAATGGAGTCTATGTATTCGTGTAAATAAACTCTAGGTAACGAACGCAACCAAGCTTGTCTCTCCTTTAGCGATACGTTCGTGAACGAACGCAACGTGTTGCTGTTTCGATCCTCCCAAAAAAGAAAAGACTAATGTAAATCTTCGGTTTAGCGGTTTACTTTTTTTTTCAATTTCGATCGATATCGTTCCGTTTCTCTTTAGAAATATAATTTAATATCGATCCAAGGTTATACAAGCAATAAGGTTAATTAGATAAACGAGTTACGATACATTGTGCGTGTAATATGTGTTCGTGGAACATTTTTGAAGAGCGAAACAAAAGTTGGTGTACAAAAGTGTCGATTGTATGCTTGTTTATTAACTTGACGTAAATTTATAAATAAACTTATACCTGATATTTTTGTACACACTTGTACAAAAAGATCCCATGAAACGACGGTTTTAATCATCATGAAACGAATCTCTCTAAAAAAAAAAGAAAGAGGGAGAGCGTTAGATTTCGTTTGAAACAAGGAAAAGTGGACTAAATCTACAAACAAAACAAACCTATAAAAGACCAATAAAAAAAAAAAAAAAAAAAGGAAGAAAAAGAAAGAAAAAAGATATCTCGTCCCGCAAACTCGCTTTTACCTTTAGTTCTCCGCCACCCGTCTGGGTTACCCGTGCCGACTCTACTATCGGTAGTCGCAAAAGGTGATACGACACCGCTTGGCTTCCACTTCTCTCTAACGGCCCATCCTCGTCTCTTTTTCTGCTTACAGACTTCAGGCCAATTGTCCTGGGAAAGTACCACGGTGTCGTGCGAAATTCTCGCCACATGCTCAGGCTACAGACGTCCCTTAACCGGCGGGGGTTCCCGTGCCCGAGGTGCGCCCGCACCTTTCACACTTCGGGCGGCATGAGCCGCCACTACAGGCTCGAGTGCGTCGATCTGCCCCGTTTCAAGTGTCCCCATTGCGATATGCGCAGCAAGTATACCCAGGCCGTGTACAGGCACATTAGAGCCAAGCACCGGAACATGGAGCTAAGGTTCGTCAAGCTTTACTGAAAAAAAGAAAAAAGAGAGAGAAAAAAAAAAAGAATAATAATAATAATCCTCGATAATGTTACGCTTCTCCCCGGCGTCTGCCCCGTTCGNCGCCCGCCAACGAATTCTTCGCGTTTTCTCTCACCGCCACACGAGCGAAGGACCGACACGCAAGGTTGAGAAGGACGCTGGTATGTTCGCTTCGCACGTCTTGTCCATTTGTCCTTCCTTGTGGGAAGGAAAAAATTC